AAAAATGCAATGGTGGAACAAACATATGATAGATATTCCCAGTACAAACAGGGAAGAAAAAAGGGGTAATTGGTCCCAAGTAAGTCCAAAACCCAACAGCACGAACAACATTAAATCTTAAGGCTCCAGAATAGTCTTCCTTGATACTGTGTCCCTCCTTCTTGGCACCCTGGAGTGAATGTTTGGTCTCCAAGGTCTGGGACAGCCCTGCCCCCGTGACTTTGCTGGGCTCATCCACACTGTCTCTCATGGGCTTGGGCTCATGACCACAGCTCTCCCAGACTGGAGTTGCACACTGGTAGTTCTACAGTTCTGGGGTCTCGGGTGGGCTGGCTCCAGCAGCTCCACCAGGCGTTGCCCTAGTGGGAGCTCTCTGAGGTGGCTCCACTCCTACAACAAGTCTCTGACTGGGCCCCCAGCCTGTCCAAGACATCCTTTGAAATCTAGGTGAAGGAAACCATACTTCCATAGCTCTTGGCATTCTGCACACCTGCAGAATTAGCACCACATGGATGCTGCCAAAGATTGCCACTTGTGCCCTCTGGAGTGGTGGGTTGAGCCACACCTGGACCTGTTAGAACCATGGCTAGGGTTGTCAAGGGGCATTGTGCTGGAATGTGGGGAGCAGAGTTCCAAGGCAGCACGGAGCAAAAAATGCTGATATCCTGCAGGTGCCTCTCTGGAAACCTTGGCCTCAAGGCTCTGCTCTGGGCCTGCAATGAGAGGGGCAGCCTTAATGATCTCTGAAATAACTTCAGAGTCATTCTCCCACTGTCTTGATAAATAGCACCTGGCTCCCTTGTATTAGTATAATGTTTTTAGCAATCACTTGACCACACCGTTGGTTTGCTGTCCTAAACCTGCCTTTTCACTCTTTAAGTGGCCAGGCTGCAAATTTTCCAAATCTTTCCATTCAGCTTCCCTTTTAATTATAAATTCCATCTTTAAATCATTTCTCTCACATCTTACTGTATGTGGTTTAAAGAAGCCATGCAGCTCTTTGAATATTTTACTTAAAAATTTCTTGCACCAGGAATCCTAGTTTACTATTCAGTTCTGCCTTCCTTGAAACCCAGGGCTTGGACACAATTCAGCCAGATTCTTTACCAATTTATAATAAGGATCACCTTTACTCTAGTTTCCAATACCTTGTTCTTCATTTCCATCTGGGACCTCATCACCCTTTACTGTCCATATATCTATCAACATTCTGATCACAACCACTAATCTCTAAAGTTTCAGTCTTTCTCCACACCTCTGCTCTTCTGAGTGCTTACCGAAATTGCCCTTCACACTCCATTCACAGTAAACGATACAGGCTTATTCTAGCATTGACTTCAAAACTGTGCTCCTACTCATTACCCAGTTCCAAAGCCACTTCCACATTTTCAGGTATTTGCTATAGCAACACCACCTTCTCCAGTACCAATTTTCTTGCTTAATCTGTTTTGTGCTACTATGACAGAATACCACAGACTGGGCAATTTACAATGAGCAGAAATTTATTGGCTCATGGAGAAAATCAAGTTCAGGGGGCCAACATCTTATGAGGGCCTCTTGCTGTATCATCCCATGGTGGAAGTGCAAAGAGAGGGTGAGAGAAAGAGGGAAAGGGGACAAAGCTCGTCCTTTTATAAGGAACCCCCTCCTGCCATAACAAACATTCCCGTGACGGGGCATTAATCCATTCATATGATCATGAGATCATATGACCTCATGGCATAATTACCTCTTAAAGGTCCAACCTCTAATTCTGTTGCATTGGGGATCAAGTTTCTCCCAAAAACTTGAGCATAAATTTTGGGGGATACATTCAAACCGTAGCACCTTCCACAAAATAAAAATGAGTATTGCCAAAACTCTTCATTTTTAAACAGAGCTCATTTATGCCATTGTAGTCATATAATAAGAATTGTACTTCCAAGTCCATTTTGCTCAGATTGGGCAGATGTCAATAGACATTAATCAGGTAGGGCGAGGTGGCTCACACCTGTAATCCTAGCACTCTGGGAAGCCGAGGTGGGAGGATTGCTCAAGGTCAGCAGTTTGAAACCACCCTGAGCAAGAGCGAGACCCCCAACTCTACTAAAAATAGAAAGAAATTAATTGGCCAACTAAATAATATATAGAAAAAATTAACTGGGCATGGTGGCGCATGCCTGTAGTCCCAGCTCCTTGGGAGGCTGAGGCAGGAGGATCGCTTGAGTCCAGGAGTTTGAGGTTGCTATGAGCTAGGCTGATGCCACGGCACTCACTCAAGCCTGGGCAACAAAGCAAGACTCTGTCTCAAAAAAAAAAAAAAAAGGTCATTAATCATCTGGAATAATTCATCTTTCCCACTCAGGATTTCAAATTGTTTTTAATTTGTAAACAGCAAAATATAACAAAGAAGAGTATTTTAAGTGCTATAATAAAATTAATTTTTACTTATAGGTCAATTGTGTTTCTCCTCTCAGGTTAACATTTTCATGTTAACAGAGATCTCCTGGAGACAGTACATTTACTCAAAATTTCTGAAAGTATGTTCCACAGAACACTAGTACTTAATGGTAGTTGAAGAAAATGATTTTGGCAGATAAGCATGGGAGCTCTGTATTTCTTGGGGGAAAAATCACATTAAGTGCCTATCAAAAAACTAACAAAATGTTTTATTTTATCTAACCCAGGTATCATAGACTTCACTATAGAACTCTGATTCCCAATACCTTTTAGAAATGTGATTCTATTTTGGGAGATACTGCCATAACCAAAAGGACTTCAAAGAAGGAATGTCAGCATTATGGCAGATGTATGGTTACTTGTATCGTGAGGAAAACAACTCATATCATGCTTTGTAACCAGCTGCTTGCTTTTTTTGAATTTAAAATGGTACTTTTCAATAGAATGTAAAACCCACTAGTCCTATCTTTTATATATACACTAGATGTATTTAAACCTTTTATTGATCAGTATTTATGTTATATGCAGTTTCTCACTGTGAAAAAATGCCTTATTGAATATCTGTGTGTTTATTGTTGTACATAAACAAGAGTTTCTCTAAGGTATTTATCAAAAAGTGGGATTGCTTGGTCACAGTTTATATTTACTTTCAACCTCACTAGATATTGCCATAAAAATGGAAAGCATCAGCGTGGTACCAATTTACAATCCCTTCAACCAGTGAAATGTTTTATATTAATATTTTCCTGGTTAAAAGTGTGTTGAGCATCTCTTCACATCTGTTTATTGGCTAAACTGTAACTTGCCAATTCATGTCTTTGCTCATGTTCCTTTAAAAAAATTTATGTAAGAATTGTGAGATTCTTAAAAATAAATTCTAGATAGTCCTTCTACCTACTATAAATGATGGACTTATTCTCTCATATTGTGGCTTACATCTGTATTCTGATATTCATATTAAAAATTTTAATATGGATACAATGTTACCTATATGAAATAATATTTCATTATTACCTAATAATCTTTTTAACTTTATTTTTTACTAGACTCTTGGTTTTCTCGGAAATCAGGTGAGTCAACTGCAAATAGATATAATTTTGTTCTTTTTCCTTAATATTTATGATATTTTATTAATTATTCTGATTGTAATAGAGCCTCCAGAATAAGGTTCAGTATTAGTGGTGATAGCAGGCATCTGGTCATTTTCTCCAACTTAATGGAAATTACTTGGTGTAGGCCAGCGCGGTGGCTCACACCTGTAATCCTAGCACTCTGGGAGGCCCAGGTGGGCGGATTGCTCAAGGTCAGGAGTTCGAAACCAGCCTGGGCAAGAGCAAGGCTCCCGTCTCTACTATAAATAGGAAGAAATTAATTGGCCAACTAATATATATAGAAAAAATTAGCCAGGCATGGTGGCACATGCCTGTAGTCCCAGCTACTTGGGAGGCTGAAGCAGCAGGATTGCTTGAGCCCAGGAGTTTGAGGTTGCTGTGAGCTAGGCTGACGCCACGGCACTCACTCAAAAAAAAAAAAAAAAAAAAAAAAAGAAACTACTTGGTGTAATGTTTACTTCAAGTTTGAGGTAAATAGACTTTGTTGTAGCTAAGTTGTTTCTTTTCTACTTAACTTTTTTATTAGAAATGCCTGCTGAATGTTGTCAGATGCTATTTTGGCACATTGATATAATGTTTTTCTCATTGAATTTGTTAATGTGATATGTTGTACTGTAGTCATTAAGGCAGTATGATATAGGTGCAAGAATGAACAAATAGACTAGTGGAACAAAATAAAGACTCCAAAATATACCTATGTGGTCATCTAATTTGTGATAAAGGTTCCTTGGCAATGTGGTTGGGAAATGAAGGTCTTTTCAATAAGAAGCACTGGGTCAACTGCATCTCTATATTGATAAAAAAAAATTAATCTTGACCCTTACCACACACTATACATAAATCAATTCCAGATACGTTAGTGATCTAATTGTAAAAGGTAAAACAAAGGCTTTAAAAGAAAATGTAGAATATCTTTCTTGCATTGGGGTAGCAAAATTTCTTAGTTCACAAAAAAGCACTAACCATAGAGGTAAAAAAATGGTAAATTTTACTATATTAAATTTAAGAATCCATTTTAATCAAATGACACCATTAGGAAAGTAAAAAGGCAAAACACAAAGTGGGAGAATATTTTCACTATATATAATTAATGACTCATCCAGATATATAAAGAACCCCTACAGATCAGTGACAACCAAATAGGAAATGGAGAAAATGCTCAAATAATCATTTCAAAAAAGGGACATCAAAGTGGCCAATGAAGACATGAAAAGGTGCTCAAATTCACTAATTATTAAGGAACTGGAAAAATTAAAACCACAATATGATATCACTACACAACTCCCAGAATAGCTAATAAAAAAGTGTACAAAGGGCTTGTTTCCTGATGTCCAGGCGGGGTGGCTCACAACTAATCCTAGCACTCTGGGAGACCGAAGCGTGAGGCTCACTTGAGGTTAGGAGTTTGAGACCAGCCTGAGGAAAAGCGAGAACCCTGTCTCTACTAAAAATAGAAGGAAAATAATTAGCTGGGTGTGGTGGTGCGCCTGTAGTCCCAGTACTCCAGAAGCTGAGGCAGGATGACGCCAGAGCACTGTAGCCCCCAAACCTGATAGAACTGAACGGGAAAAAGACACCCTTTCTCAGAAACAGAACTAGACTTTTAAAGTCAGCAAGGATAATGAATTTCCAATGACAATATCAACCGTCTTAACCTAATAGACATTTATAGAATACGTTCCCAACGGCAGGAGAGAAAGAAAAAAGCAGACAGGAAGGGTGGGATGAAGAAAGACAGCGAGAGCGCGAGCGCACACCAGTGGCCTAGGTCCTGCTCCAGGTTCTTAGGGGTATTTTTATTGAGCACCTGATGTATGGCCACACCCTCCTAGGGTGTATACACTGAGCACTTGCTGTGTGGTCAGTATATTAGGTGGCTACTGGTGCCAAGACTTGTTTCTAATCCCGATAGGACCGCCTCAGCGACAAACACAAAGCCGAACTCCAGGGGCCCGCCTGGTCCAGCCCCGCGCGGCCTCCGAAGCCCGCGCGCGCCAACACCCTCTCGCCGGCAGCGCTGCGCATGCGCACTCCGCGCGGCCCTCCCGCCCGCGGACTACATCTTCCACAGGCCTCCGCGCGCAGTTTCTTTCCGGCTTCCTCGCTGGTGTCGGCTCCGAGAGGTGAGTTGGTCGCGTGCACTGAGGCAATGGGCGCGGGGACGGCGCGGCCCTCCGCGTGAGTCGAGTGACGGCGACTGTGGAGTTTGTGGCGCTGACGGGGCATCGGGCGCCCTGCCGCGTCCTCTGCTCTCCGGCGTCAGCGCTGCACGGTCCGGCGGCCCGGAATGGCTCCGAGTTAGAGGCACGAGCCCGAGCGGAGGGGCCCTAAACAAAAAGACGCAGCCTGAGAACAACTGCAGGTCTCAGCAGCACAGCGTCCTCCCGGGGACACGGAGGTGAACTCGGAGGCAGAGTCCAGCCCGGTCTTCGTGCACTCTGGCCTTTCTCTCGGACACCGGGAATGGTCAGCTTCTTTCCAGGCTCCCTCTCGTTTTCTCTGGTGGGTTATGTGTGTGGTGGATGGAAGGAGCCAGGGCGATAGCGGGGGTGTGTCGGGTGTCAGCCAGGCTGGGCTCCGGGAAAGGCCTGCTGTCTCAAGATCCCGTTCGCTTCCCCAATCCTGCTGATCTTTAGGAAGTGGAGGGAAAGGAGGAAACGATTGCTCTTGCGTATGTAAAAGTCAACGTCAAGATGAGTTTGTTTCCTTTTTGTTCCATGAAATGTAAATTTTATTTTTCCAGGCATGGGGACATTTGCTTCCCTCATCTGTGAAAGAGTGAAAAATCAGTTTGGACTAAACAATGAAACAGTCGTGTCATTAATTAGTCTGGGAGGGAAGAGACAGGTGAAGCCAGCTGCTCTCACTCAGATGATTGATCCAAATGTGGATATCTATTCACCTCTTTCAGGTTATCCAGTAGTTGTAAAATGCCAATAATGAGATTACAGCTTTCTTACCAAGGATACTCTAGATTCGCTTTGCTATTTTCATTTGATCACATTTTATCATTTATTATTGGAGATACCCAATTTTTAAGCTACCCAGGTGATAACACTCATGGTAACACTCAATCTCCAGCTAATCCCTGTTTCTCCCACTATCACTGCAGAAACAGCAGCCATTCCAAATCCCTGCCACCCGGAGATCCACCTCAGAATCCTTTAGCTCGAACTCAACCTTTTATAAAAGAGCTTTTCTCCTTCTGGGCCATCGCATTCCAACCATTCCTGTGGAATTTCCTCCCTCTCTACAAGTCTATAGATATGATTTTGTGGGACTATACAGGCTTGTTCCAGTTAGTCTTTAGATGGCTGGGCTTTAATCTCTGTAATGTCCTGTCCAATAACCTGGTGCTTTGGCCTTCCTTTCCAGGGGATGTTGGGGTGATGAGGGTAGACTCTGCACTCCCCAGCCCCCGCACCTCGCTTTCCAGTGGGTATTGACACAAGCATTTGGTAATCACTTAATTTCTCCTGTGAACTGCCTCTTTCTAATCATTTGGACAGTATGCAAGTAAACCTCCTGAAGAGAGAGGCTAACTGCAGAGCCTCTGGTCAGGTTTCTATATCAGTCTAGAGGCCTGCTGTGATAGAGGGCACCTCCTGCTGCTCTGGTTGCTCTATCTACAGGGAAGGTGTGGAGCCTGGGATTTTATCCTCTATTTCCCACGTGGGTACCTTCCCTCATTACTTATGGTCCTGCTGGTGGTCCCATTTCTGTCTCATTCACCTCACTCCCACCTCTTATCCATGGATTCCCAGTGCTCTCACTCAGATGACTGATCCAAATGAGGATATCTATTCACCTCTTTCAGTCTTCTCCCTGAGAGTGGCATTGTATGGGCTGCTTCTAGTCCACCCTTTTTCCTCCCCACCTCTAGTTTTGTATTTTAACCTTAATACTAAAGATACGTGACTCACACATCACCGTTACAGTATTATACTGTGTTCTGAATTTGACTGTGTACTTACTTTTACCAGTTTTATACTTTCTGATGTTACTCATTAGTGTTCTTTCAGCTTGAAAGAACTCCCTTAAGTATTTCTTGTAAGACAGATCTGGTGATGATGAACTTCCTCAACTTTTCTTTATCTGGAAACGGTCTCCTTCATTTTTGAAAAACAGCTTTGCTGGGTAGAATATTCTTGTTTGACAGTGTTTTTTCCTTTAGCACTTTGAATATATCATCCTGCTCTCTTCTGGCCTTTAAGGTTTCGGCTGAGAAGCCAGCTGCTATCTATATTGCTGCTTTTCTCTTGCTGCTTTCAGGACTCTCTCTTTGATAGTTAATAGTTTTGTTATAATATGTCTTAGGGTAGTCGTCTTTGGCTTGAATCTGACTAGTGACCTTTGACTTTCCTGTACCTGGATATTTTTACTTTCTCCAGGTTGGGAAAGTTTTCTGCTACTATTTGGTTTTTTTGGTTTTTGGGGTTTTTTTAGACAGAGTCGCTTTGTTGCCCATGGTCGTGAGTGCCGTGGCGTCAGCCTAGCTCACAGCAACCTCAAACTCCGGGGCTCAAGCAATCCTGCTGCCTCAGCTTCCTGAGTATCTGGGACTACAAGCATGCGCCACCATGCTGGCCTAATTTTTCTATATATATTAGTTGGCCAATTAATTTCTTTCTATTTTATAGTAGAGACAGGGTCTCGCTCTTGCTCAGGCTGGTTTTGAACTCCTGACCTTGAGCAATCCGCCCGCCTCGGCCTCCCAGAGTGCTAGGATTACAGGCGTGAGTACCACGCCGGGCCCTGCTACTATTTCTTTAATTAAACTTTCCACCCATTTATCTTTCTCTTCTCTTTTTTAACTCCCGTGACTCAAACATTTACACTTTTGACACTGTTCTATAAATCTCATTAGCTTTCTGCATTTTTTTTTTTTTTTTTTTTTGAGACAGATTCTCGCTGTGTTGTTCAGGCTGGAGTGCTGTGGCGTCAGCCTAGCTCACAGCAACCTCAAACTCCTGGGCTCAAGCAATCCTGCTGCCTCAGCCTCCTGAGTAGCTGGGACTACAGGCACGCGCCACCATGCCTGGCTAATTTTTTCTATATATATTAGTTGCCAATTAATTTATTTTCTATTTATAGTAGAGACTAGGTCTCACTCTTGCTCAAGCTGGTTTCGAACTCCTGACCTCGAGCAATCCGCCCACCTCGACCTCCCAGAGTGCTAGGATTACAGGTGTGAGCCACTGGGCCTGGCCTGCATTTCTTTTCATTTTCTTTTTTCCCTGACTGTATATTTTCAAATAACCCATGTTCAGTTCACAGATTTTTTTTCTTCTGCTTGATCCATTCTGCTGTTGATGTTCTCTCTTACATTTTTAATTTCCTTCATTGTATTTTTCAGCTCCAGGATTTGTTTGATTTTTTTAAGTTATTTTAATCTCTCTAATTTTTCATTCTGGTTAATTATTATTTTCCTCATTTTATTGAGTTTTCTCTGTATTATATTGAAGTTCATTAAACTTCCATAAAACAGTTATTTGAATTTTTGCCAGGTTGTTCAGCCCTCTCCATTACTTTAGGGTTGGTCATTGGTGCTTTATTTTGTCCAGTTGGTGATGTCATGTTTCCCTGATTGTCCTTGATCCTTGTGGCTGTGTGTCTGCATATTTGAAGAAGTATATTTTTATTCCAGTCCTCAGATTCTGGCTTTGTCTTGCAAAGGTCTGTCAACCCATCCATTGATTCTGGGAAGTATGTCTGGTTTGGTCCCTAATGCTAGGTCTGCAGTGGTTGGATGTAGAACACCAGGAGCTTGGAGCCACCATGGCCGGTGTGGCATTGGGGTATGCCTACAGCCAGTGCCCACTGAGGGCTGCTTGCTGTTGAGGATTGTTTGGACCCAAGGACTGCTGACATCAGCCTGGTAGGGGTAGCATGAGATGGAGTTCACCAGACAAGCCTGAATCCTGGGGCTGTGTGGTCCTGTTTAATGCTGAGCTGGGCCTAGAGGCTTAGTCTGTGGGTACTTGCCTGGAGTCTGGGGTCATGAGGGTCTGCCTGGTGCTGGGTTTTACTGTGGTAGGCCTGATGTTAGGGAACAAGACAGATTTCTATGCTCGCTTCCCTGTCTTCTTCTCAAGTGGAGAGTATCTCTCAGCACTGTGCTCCCTGGAGTAGTGGGAAGGGTGACAAGGCTAATGTCAAACTGTCCCTTCTACTCTCTTTAATGTGTTTTTTCTTATTGTGGTGCTACAGCCAATTACTGTGATCTCTCACCTGGTTGCCTTAGCTCTTATGAAGGTATTTTTGTTTGTGGATAGTTGTTCAAACTGATATTTCTGTAGGGGGACAATTGCTGGAGAGACCTATTCCACCATCTTCTGAGATAGTATTTTTTGAAAGGTTACTAGTTATTTCTATTTTTTAGTGAATTACCCATCCTCAGGCTTCTCTCAGTGAAGTAGAAATCCTATCCCAGAGGCAAAAACCAAAGTTGAAAGAGAACTGGCCTTTTAGTTATAGAAATGTGGATTCCAAACCAATGTTTGCCACTTAACTGATTTAACCCCTAAGCATCCGTTTCCTGAGCTATTAAAAGGAGAGAAGAGGCCAGGTGTGGTGGCTCACGCCTGTAATCCTAGCACTCTGGAAGACTGAGGCTGGCGGATTGCTCGAGGTCAGGAGTTCAAAACCAGCCTGAGCAAGAGCGAGACCCGTCTCTACTATAAATAGAAACAAATTAATTGGCCAACTAATATATATAGAAAAAATTAGCTAGGCATGGTGGTGCATGCCTGTAGTCCCAGCTACTTAGGAGGCTGAGGCAGAAGGATTGCCAAGGATTGCCTGAGCCCAGAAGTTTGAGGTTGCTGTGAGCTAGGCTGATGCCACGGCACTCACTCTAGCCTGGGCAACAAAGTTAGACTATGTCTCAAAAAAAAAAAAAAAAGGAGAGAACTACAGTGCAAAACAGTACTAAGGATCAACTGACAATATGTATATAGCACCCATCTCATAAAGGTTCTCCTTGAATGTTGCTGACTAACTGCAGAGATCATGAATCTTTTCCTCTCCAACTTGGATACTAAAAGAGAAGGGGTGGTGAAAGATGTCATGGTATGGGAGGTCCTGATTGGAAAACTGGAGTGGCGAGTTTTCTTGGCTGGGGAAAGGCCATTGCAGCCCTACGATGGCAGGAGCTGCCAGGCTCTGTGTGGTCTTTTAGTCTTTGTATTTAGTAAGGTCGGGCAGGATCATGAGGGGTCAAAGGAGGCTCTACTTGGATCGTGTGTTTCCATCTCAGCCCTGAAAAGTTGTACTGGAGTGAGGAGGAACTGCTCAAGACAAGTCTGAGTAATCAACTGTCAGGACCAGATCCTCTTTGCCAGATAGCGGCCTAGTCAGAAATCCTTCTACAGAAGTATCTGGGCTTCTACACCAAGTTCATCATTGCTCAGCTGGTTTCTTTGGGGCTTGTATTTCTTCAACTCCCTATACTCTCCTCCAATTGATGTGGGTATGGGATAGGTGTGGGTATAGTGGTGAGGAGTAGTTTTTAGAAGCAGGAATGGAAGAGAAATGTTCATATTAACATAAGTAATTTTGAGACTCTGAAGCATATCTGATTTCATGGTGTCTTTTTCTTCTTTCAGCTTTGGCTTGTCTGGATTCTGTAGTTCTCCAATAAAGAAGTCTTGAAAAATACTGAGCAGTTCTTACAGTTCTAAAACCATGGCCCATGTAAGTTCAATTTTCTCTTTCTCTTTTCGAAATACTGTCCGTTTCATATATGCATATCTACTCCTTATTCTGAAACTTCCTATTTAGCAGAATTCCATTGAGGAATCTGCTTTAGTTCCTCTCATTCTTATGAGGATTGGGGACAGATAGCCCAACATTTTGTGTGCCTTTCTCTTCTTACACTAATTTTAGGCATCTCCTACCTACAAAATCTGTCAAGAGCCAGGAGAGAGCAAAAGTGAAATGCCTTGAGAAAACTGCAGGCATTCTCTGCATAATCCCCCACCATTAACATTTCCCAATGGATTTTAATTTTAATATTTAACCTTTAGGAAGAGTATACTTCTCTCAATACAATGATTTTTCATCTAATTTATTGTAGGAAAGATTTGTGTTCCCAATATACGATATGACATTTTAAAAAATTTTTTGAATTATTTTATTTAGGTAAGACATATGTACAGAAAAGTATATAAACCAAATGTGTACAGCTGAATGAATTTTCATTAATTGAATACATCTGTGCTACCAGGTCAAGAAAGGAAATAGTAGGAGCACGTCAGATGCCCCACTTTCAGACAGTTGCCACCCAGCCTGCCCAACTGTAACCATTATCCTGACTTCAAACACCATAAATTAATTTTGCTTATTTTTAGAACTTTATTTAAGTGAAAGCATGTACTTCAATACAATTTTTTTAACATAAATAATATCTAGAAAGAGTCTTGTTAACTCCAGATACAATTGCTAGACCCTTGGAACCGTCTATACATGTTTTGAAATGTATGTAAGTATCACTAAAGGGGATTTGTGTATCTGGTGTTGCTGGTGACAAAGGAGTCATCAGAGCATCATGCTGAGTGTGAGCCATTGTGTTCTTGTTGGAAATGCTTCCGTAGTATACTTCGTATGTAGCCCATGTTTTTATCTAATGAAAATGAATTCCTAAAAGGTTGGGAAAATATTGAAGAAAATTGTGGACAAAGAAACTAAGCAAGGCTGGGCGCAGTGGCTCATGCCTGTAATCCTAGCATTCTGGGAAGCTGAGGCAGGCGGATTGCCCAAGGTCAGGAGTTCGAAACCAGCCTGAGCAGAGCAAGAACTCATCTCTAATAAAAAATGGAAAGAAATTAAAATGGCCAAGTAAAAATATATAGAAAAAATTAGCCAGGCATGGTGGCATATGCCAGTAGTCCCAGCTACTCAGGAGGCTGAGGCAGTAGGATTGCTTGAGCCCAGGAGTTTGAGGTTGCTGTGAGCTAGGATGAGATGGCACTCTAGCCCAGGCAACAGAGTGAGACTCTACCTAAACAAAAAGAAACTAAGCAAGTGAGAAAAATAAATTTAATAAGAGACGATGAAAATTCTAAAGCCAAAGAAAGATGTTATGTGTGCACCGACCCATTGTGTACTATATAGTTCTATACTAGAGAAAAATGTTGTGAAGCTATTTGAAGGGATGGAATTGATATATAATGCATTGTAATTCTGATTTAAAATGATGGGCAAATAGGTATGGATTAATAATGTGGTGTTCGAATGTTTCATTTATTTATTTAGAGACAGAGTCTTGCTCTGTCACTCAGGTTGGTGAGCAGTAGTGACAAGATCAGAGCTCACTGCAGACTCCAACTCCTGAGCTCAGGCAATCCTGCCTCAGTCTCCCAAGTAGCTGAGACTAGAATATCTTATTTTCAAGAATGGAATACTTACATTAAATGGGAGCTCCCTGTTTTGAGCTTTCCTTGAAGATCCATGGTTTGATAAAAGAGAGAATTTGGTCCTATTTGACTGCTTACAGAGAAAACTCTAAACTTCATGTGAGTTTTTCAAGTATATAAGATGGAATTTAGTGTTGACTGATCTCAGTTTCTGTATGTGTTGAGATCTTATGTAAGGCTTTTAGGATTGGGTGGATTAGGTAGGGGTATAATTGGGGCCTTATATTTGCAAGGCATAAAATTTCATGTGCTGCCTTTCACACCTTTGTCAAGGGACTGAAAGCCTAGCCATGAATTTCCCTGCTCTCACCAGATATACCCCTCTTTGAGCAAGAAAGCTTCCTACCAAGCTATCTCTCCTATCATCTGGACCAGTTACACCCCACCTTATCCTCAACCTAATGCGTTTCACCTCCCTGCTAGCCCATTGAATTATTCAAAACAAGCCAATCACATCCTACTATGAGAACTCAGGAATAATTCACCCACTTATTACTATAAAGCCAGCCTCCCACAGCCCCTGCTTGTTCACTGTGTTCCTGAGCGCAACCCCTTTGTGGCCCTGTATGATGTGTTATGTCTTCCCTCAGGTTGTGAATATAAATGTGACTAATAAATCACTGTTAATCTTGTCTGTCCAGTGTTAGCTATTTGGCTATCTCATACTTTTTAGGGTATTAATAGGGTGAATAGGAGGTGATCAGAACAAGACTGCAAATAGAGACATCAAGAATGATTTCTAATTATTTCTTCCTGGAGAAAATAATGCCAGGAACAAAGTACATTGCGTATTTTACAGAATACTGGTCTAGGGCAAGATTTCTCAACTTTGGAACTATTGACATTTTGAGCCAGAGAGTCCTTTATTGTGGGGTACTGTCCTGTGCATTGTAGGTTGTTTAACAGTATTGCCAACCTCTACCCATTACATGCCGGTAACACTCAACGCCCCTTCGCCACAGCTGTGACAATCAAAATTGGGATTTTTTAAAATCTTATTTATTTTTAGATATATCCAGTAAAAAGTTAATCATATATGTAGCCACAGGGCTATTGAAGAATATATAGGCACTGTGCTTCAGAGATACTAATTTGCTTCTTTTTTCTCTTCTTTTACTTATTTTTCTTGCCATTCCTTATAGACATCTTGCAAGAGATACTAATTTTCTTACTGTCCCCTACTTGTGTCACAAGTTTTCAGCCCTACACTAGTTACATGCTATATGGGCCCCTCTCTGCAATGCATTCCTCAATGTCCTCACTTTCCATTTTGAAATTGTTTACTTTCTTTTCAAAAGTAATACCTGAGTTTATTTTTTCAGAGTTCTGTAACATTCAGGGATGTGGCCATAGACTTCTCACAGGAAGAATGGGAATTCCTGGACCCAGCTCAGAGGGACTTATATCGGGATGTAATGTGGGAGAACTATAGCAACTTCATCTCACTAGGTAAGGTTATTTATTCCAAATGATATTGGCTTTCTCTACTGTCAATTTTAGAACTATATTTAGAGAAACTAGCTAAATTTTACTCTGTTACCAAAGGAATGATTTAACCTTTGTTAGGGTGGAAATAGGCCCCTCCATCTAACACCTAATTATTCCCATCCTGCTATGTCCTTCAGACTTTCTTTAGTTAGACTCTGTAATTCTTCATTTCCTTAATATACAAGGGACTGGATTTGTATATGGCAAAAGCATTGTCCAAGAAACCAAATTTCACATTGTATTTGAGCTCAGAATTGATATAAATCCTTCATACTCCTTTGTAATCCACCTAGAGTTCTGAGTTTCTCTAAAAATCAAAGGAACCTGTAGAACATATAAGTGTGGGAAGGATCCATGAAATTTATTTAAAACTCAAGTAAACACATTCTGCTTCCTATAATAGACATATTCACTTCTATATGCTTTGTGATTGAAAGTGAAAATCTAAGCACTTTGCATTTAACATTGAATGAATATCCTAGAAAGGATCTGAGAATGTCTCAGAAAGCCTCTTACCCTCTCAGCAAAATGATAATAATAAAAATTAATAGGTAATACATATTATGTGTATATAAACATATCACCATATGTATTTGTGCTTAAATGCTATTCTGAGCATTGTTCATTATTAATTAATCTCATAACAGCTGTATGAGAAAGATACTATTATTATCCTAATTTCAGATGAGAAAACTTACACACAAGAGGTTAATAATTTGCTAAGATAACAGAAAAAAAGGCAGATTTGAAGCCAGGGAGTCTTAGAACAGGGCCAGTCAGTGTTCTCCACCACTACGTAATACTACCTCTCAACAGAGCCTATGTGTGGTTAAATTATATTAAACCTGTTCTTAACCATCTGGTGTTTATTCTTTGTGGTCCAAAGGTTACCCTAATATGAGTGTCCTTCAACTCCTTTGTGATCTTAGGCTTCATAAAGTACCGTTTTTATCTATAGATAATTATAAATGTTAACCAAATCTGAATCTAAGGATTTTGGGGTTTATTATTTCATGCCACATTTTTCTTTTAAGCAGGACCTTCCATTTCTAAACCAGATGAAATTACCTTATTGGATGAAGAAGGAAAGGAACCCGGGATGCTTGTGAGGGAAGGGACAAGAAGATACTGCCCCGGTGGTGAGTGAGAGCTGAGGCATCAAGCAATCATTACTATAGGTCTTAGCTAAACTGGTTAGGGTGGAGGCACACCCTTGAGATGTTGGGAATCTTTCTTCAAAAGCCCATGTACTGTGGAAGAAAAGCTTGAGACCTGAAGCAAATTTAAGATCTTTTAAGCCTGGAATAGCAAAGGAACTTTATATTGACCTTGATTACAACACAATTTCTTATCTCATATTTCTCTCCCACTTAAGAGAGAGGAGCTGTTCTCAGTAGAAGAAAGAAACAATAATAAATACAAGAGCAGAAGTCAACAAAATAGAAAAAAGTAGAGAAAATTCATGAAGCCAAAAATTGGTTTCTTGAAAAGATCAACAAAGATGGTAAACACCTAGCTTGATCAAGATAAAAAGAGGGAAAACATAAATTACTAATATCAGGAATGAAATAGGGATTTTTACTTCACATCATATAGCCATTAAAGGAATAATAAAAGAATGCCATGAGTAACTTTATGCGAGTAAATTTGATAATTTAAATGAAATTGAAAAATTCCTGGAAAAATACAACTTACCAGACCTGGCACAGTGGCTCACGCCTGTAATCTTAGCACTCTGGGAGGCCGAGGTGGGCGGATTGCTCGAGGTCAGGAGTTCGAAACCAGCCTGAGCAAGAGCAGGACCCCATCTCTACTGTAAATAGAAAGAAATTAATTGGCCAACTAATATATATAGAAAAAATTAGCTGGGCATGGTGGTGCATGCCTGTAGTCCCAGCTACTTGGGAGCCTGAGGCAGCAGGATTGCTTGAGCCCAGATTGAGGTTGCTGTAAGCTAGGCTGATGCCACAGCACTCACTCTAGCCTGGGCAACAAAGTTAGACTCTGTCTCAAAAAAAAAAAAAAGAAAAGAAAAATACAACTTATCAGAACTGACACAAGATTAAAAAAAAGAAACACTTTGTGTCTATTAAAGTAATCGAATAATCATAAATCTTAATTCTACTAAATATGTAAGGAAGAAATAGCAGAAGTATTACAAAACTTCCTTCAGAAAAGGAACACCTCCCAACTCATTTTATGAGGCCAACATAACTTTTTTTTTATTGTTCAGATAGCAAAACAGCATAACTCTTATACATAACCTGACACAGAAATTACCAAAATAAAAATTATAAACCCATGTCTTTCACATATATAGGTGTAAAATTTTAAAATATTAACAAAATCTGGTGATATATAAATTGATGGTCAAGTAGGACGATCAATGCAAGCTTGGATTAACACTCAAAAAGTAGTATAATTCACCAAATTAACAGAAAATGTGACAGAGACCATGTGATCATTGTCTTTGTTCATTTTTCTATTGCTTATAACAGAATACCTGGAATTTATAAGGAATTTAGAAAGAAATGGAATGTATTTCTTATACTTAGGGAGGCTGAGAGGTTAAGGAGCCACATCTGGTAAGAGCTTTCTTGCTGATAGGGACTCTGCTCAGTCCTAAGGCAGCATAGGGCATCACATGGCAAGGGGGCTGAGAGCGTGCTGGCTCAGATCTGTCTGTTATAAAGCTAACAGTCCCTCTTCCATGATAATCCATTAATCTGTTAATCCATTAATCTATGACTTGATTAATCCATTTATGAGAGCAGAGTCCTCATGACCCAATCACCTGTTAAAGGCCCTGCCAGGCTGTCAATACTGCCACATTAGGGATTATGTTGTAACATGAGTTTTGGAGGGGCAAACATTCAAATTATAGCAGTCATGTCCATAGATGTAAAATAGTGTATCACAAAATTTAACATCCATTCATGATAAAAACTCTTAGCATACTAGAAATTGAAGGGAACTTCCTTAACCTGATAAAAGGCCTCTGCTAAAAACACAAGCATACTGAATATTTATGATACCTGATTGAAGAATTTCCCACAAAGATTAGGAAAAGGCAAGGATGTCCTCTCCTCCCACATCTTTTTTTTTCCCAGTCCAATCTAAGTGTAATCTCCCACATCTACTTAACATTGTATTGAAAGTCCTAGCCAATGCAATAAGAAAAGGAAATGAGATATAAAGTTCAAAAGGAAGACATAAAAGTCATATTTGGAGATGGCATGATTGTGCGCATAGAAAATATTAATAATTAAGGAATCTGGCCGAGTAAGGTGGCTCACGCCTATAATCCTAGCACTCTGGGAGGCTGAAGCAGGAGTATTGCTTGAGGTCAGGAGTTCGAGGCCAGCCTAAGCAAGAGTGAGTCTCCATCTCTACTATAAATAGAAAAAAGTTAGTCAAAAACAACTAAAAATAGAAAAAATTAGCTGGACATGATGGTGTGTGCCTGCAGTCTCAGCTACTCGGGAGGCTGAGGCAGCAGGATCACTTGAGCCCAGGAGTTTGAGATTGCTGTGAGCTAGGCTGACGCCATGGCAGTCCAGCCTAGGCAACAGAGCAAGACTCTGTCTCAAAAAAAAAAAAAAAAAAAAAAAAACAATTACACAATTGCATTTCAAATATAGCATTGATCCTTTAATTCAAATCACTATAGTATTTTACTTTGCATCAGGCCACTTATCTCTTGCCTATGCTAGGTGATTAAAGAAAGCCATTGCAAAATTGACTTTTGGAAGGCACTATATATATATGGGCAAAGAGAAAAAATACTTTTGTGTTCATAACTAAATACTTCAGAAGAAGAAGAAAAATAGAAGATGGATGATTTAGGGAGAAAAGTACTTTACATTCTTCATTTTTATATAGACTTTAGTTATTAGAGCAGTTTTAAGTTCACAGCAAAATGCAGAAGGCATTGGTTTGAATGTTTGTCTCCTCCAAAACGCATGTTGAAGCTTAACCCCCAATATGGCAGAATTGAGAGGTGGGATCTTTAAGACGTGATTGGGTCACGAGGGATCTGCTGTCATGAATGGGTTTATGCATTCATGGATTAATGGGTTATCATGGGATTGGGACTGGTGGCTTTATAAGAAGAGTAAGAAAGGCCTGAGCTAGCACATTAAGCCACCTTGCCATGTGATACACTGTGCTACTTTGGGATTCTGCAGAATCACACTAGCAAGAATGCCTTTACAAGATGCAGCTCCTTGACCTTGACTTCCTGGCTTCCATAACTGTCAGAAATAAGTTCCTTTTCTTTATAAATTCCCCAGTTTCAGGTATTTTGTTACAAGAACAGAAAACAAACTAAAACAAGCATGAAGTGCATAGACGTACATAAAGTCAACAGGAATAGCCTTTCTGAAGAAGCGATTTTTTATTTTAGACTTGAGACTGAAAGAAGCCAACCATTCAATGTCGGAGGATTCCTCAGAGAAGAAGCAACCTGTAAAAAGTCCTGTTTAATGGGAACAGTTGTAGGGCATTTTGTGAGCTAAAAGAGGCCAGTATGCCATGAACAGAGAGAATTAAATGGGATAAGAGATTTGTTGATAAGCTGAAGCCTTATTATTCATGCTCAGGTATTTATATTTTATTCTGATGGTAAAGAGATATTATTGACACTATTTAAGAGACTCAGACATTTATCAGCATCAGAATCATTTCTTAGAGCAGCAGTCCCCAACCTTTTTGGCACCAGGGACCAGTTTCATGGAAGACAATTTTTCAAGGAACAGGAACGGGGGGTCGGGGGGAGGTGGAGCTCAGGTGGTGATGCAAGTGATGGGGAGCTGCTGTAAATACGATGAAACTTCACTCGCTCTCCTGCCGCTCACCCTTGGTTGCTTCTTTGTTGCTAGTCTCATGTCTAAATTTAAAGCATAATCAGTGGTCCGTAACCTTTTTGGCACCAGGGACTGGTTTCATAGAAGACAACCTTTCCATGGATGGGGGTTGAGAGGGAGATGGAGCTCTGCAGCTGGTTCCTAATAGGCCATGGATCGGTACTGGTCCAAGGCCCAGGGGTTGGAGATTGCAGTCTTAGAGAATACAAATAAGAACAAAACAAAAACATACCCAGGACTTAGTCCTATAGATTGTTTCAGTCCTTTACAAATACCTCTGTATAGTTTAAACAAATCTCCAGATGATTCTTATTCACACTTAAATCAGTGCTTCACTGATTTGACTCTAGGACTTCACTTCTCACAAACCCCACCTCCACTCTTGGACTCCATTATCCCTGTGTTTCCCTTGCCTTTTTTCAAACTGTATGAAAGTATAATCTGTTTCATGACACAAATCAGCTTAATAATGATAGGGAATAATAGCAGTATAATATGGAAGATGGTTAGTTAATAGGTAATTTTTCTAGTCCAGTGGAACCAGCTTAGTAGAGGTACATTTATAACATTCAACAGATAAGGCAAAAGCCTTCAAATCGATGCTTTATTGTCAAAGAGCTCTTTTATCTTTATTTTAATAAAATTAATAAGTGCCTGTACCCAGGGCTCCTTCCCAAGAGGTATATACCATCCACCTTGAGTGGTCCCCTAGCTAAAGGCAGACTGCACTTTACCCTGTTCCCACTTTATTGGTGTCCTCACTGGCTCAGGGGTTTATTTTCATGTGCAATATCTCAGGACTTGGTTTGTTTTTGTGTATTTTAATATCCATGAAGCCATGCTGAGCTGCCTTTTAGGTTATCCCTTGAGATATCAACTATTAGATTTCTTAGTGTTATGCTGATAGAGTTGAGTGGTCTGTTCCAGTCCTATTTTTCTTATAAATCCAATTATTTTTGGGGTGTATTTTGTAGAAGATACGCTTCTTTAGGTACAGTTATGTGGTATTGTAGCAGAAATGCCTTTGTTTGGGAGATATCTAATTGATTCACTTGTAATAGGCATTTTAAGTGTCTTTTATTTCTCTATAGAAGTTTTCTTGCTTCTGGAATAGGAAAATAGCATGTGTTTGCTTTCTTGTTTTCTTTCAGATTTGGAATCCAGATATAGGACCAATACTTTATCTCCAGAAAAGGACATTTATGAAATATGTTCATTCCAATGGGATACAATGGAAAGAATTAAAAGCTATAGCCTTGAGGGCTCCATTTTTAGAAATGATTGGGAATGCAAAAGCAAGATTGAGGGGCAAAAGGAACCACAAGAGGGATATTTTGGGGAAGTCAAAATTACCTCTGAAAAAATGACCACTTACAAAAAGCACAATTTTCTTGCTGACTATCAGATAGTTCATAATGGAGAAAAGTTATATGAATGTAAGGAATGTAGGAAAACCTTCATTCGTCGCTCAACACTTAGTCAACACCTGAGAATTCATACTGGTGAGAAACCTTATAAATGTAAGGAATGTGGGCAGGCCTTTAGACAGCGTGCACACCTTATCCGACATCACAAACTTCATACTGGTGAGAAACCCTACGAATGTAAGGAATGTGGGAAGGCCTTTACAGTGCTCCAAGAACTTACGCAACATCAGAGACTTCATACTGGTGAAAAGCCCTATGAATGCAAGGAATGTGGAAAGTCCTTTAGAGTACATCAGCAACTGGCTCGACATCAGAGAATTCACACTGGTGAAAAACCCTATGAATGTAAGGAATGTGGAAAGACCTTTAGACAATGTACACACCTTACTCGACATCAGAGACTTCATACATCTGAGAAACTCTATGAATGTAAGGAATGTGGGAAAGCCTTTGTATGTGCTCCAGACCTTAGAGTACATCAGAAAATTCATTTTGGTGAGAAACCTTATGAATGTAAGGAATGTGGAAAGGCTTTTAGAATATGCCAACAACTTACTGTCCATCAGAGTATTCATACTGGTGAGAAACCATATGAATGTAAGGAATGTGGGAAAACTTTTAGATTAAGGCAACAACTTGTTCGCCATCAAAGAATTCATACTCGTGAGAAACCCTATGAATGTATGGAATGTTGGAAGACCTTCAGTAGTTACTCACAACTTATTTCACATCAGAGCATTCATATTGGTGAGAGACCTTATGAATGTGAAGAATGTGGAAAGGCTTTTAGGTTGCTCTCACAGCTTACTCAGCATCAGAGTATTCATACTGGTGAGAAACCTTATGAATGCAAGGAATGTAGAAAACCTTTTAGACTGCTCTCACAACTGACTCAGCATCAGAGTATTCATACTGGTGAGAAACCTTATGAATGTAAGGAATGTGGTAAGGCTTTTAGACTTTACTCATTTCTTACTCAACACCAGAGAATTCACACTGGTGAGAAACCTTATAAATGTAAGGAATGTAAGAAGGCCTTTAGACAACATTCACACCTTACTCAACATCAGAAGATTCATAATGGAATTTAATACAAGAAAGCCTTCAAATGTACATTATGTTACAAAACATCTCAAAATTCATTTTTTGAGAAAATTTGTGCTCAAAACTAAACATAAGAAATTTTATATTAAAGAGAGAATACATTGCTTTAAAAGCCTTCTGTCACCATTTAAACACTATTTTCAGCAAATTCCTATGAAATATTAATGTAATGAATGTAGTAAAATCTTTAGCCTTATCTATCATTATCTCCATTTCACTATTTTATTACCAGTATGATATTGTTAGACAAGATACTTAAACTTTTGTGCCTCATTTTGCTCACTTGTAAAATGGTAATAGTACTTATGCATTAGTTATTTATTGCTGTGTAATAAATTACCACAAACTTAGTAGCTTAAAATAATACACACTTAATATCATAATTTCTATGGATCAGGAATCCAAGCATGACTTAGTTGGGTCTTCTGCTTCAGGGTCTGTCACAAGGTCTCTGTTACAAAGTTTTAGCTAGGGCTGAGGTCTCATCTGAAGGGTTGAATAGGAAAGGATCCACATTCAAGCTAATATTGTTGCTCGAATTCATTTCCTTGAGGCCTGTTTTACTGAGATTCTCGGTTTCTAGCTGGCTGTTGGCTGAAGGCTGACTCTACAGTTCCTTGCTGCAGTGGTCTCATCAGCTTGGCTGTTTGCTTCATCAAGGCATACAAGCCAAGAATGTGATAGAATCTGCCAACAAGATGGAAGTTACAATATTGTGTAATCTAATCATGGACGTGACATCCTATCACCTTTGCTGTCTTCTGGTCAAAAGTAAGTTACTAGGCCAGCCCACACTTAGGGGATTACACAAGAGTGTGAATACCAGGAGACAGGATCATTGGGGGCCAATTTAGAGTCAGTCACACTTTAATAGGATTGTTAGTAAGTAGTTAATAATTAGAACAACAGTCCCATAGCATGTATTCTGTAAATATTATCTGTAATTGCTATTATCATCATTAGTATTAGTGAATTCATATGAAAGGAATATCCTATAGAAGTAATCAATGTATTAGTATAAATGTCTCCTATCACCTCTCAGAACTTATTAAACATAAGATAATTTATTCTAGGTAAAATCTAGATTGTAGTGAATGTAAAAAGTTCTTCATCACTTGAGCTGCATCAGAAATTCCATACTAAAAAGAAACCCTATGAATCTCATGAATGTGATGTTAAGAGTACAATTATTGAAGAATCAAGAGGGAACTATCTATGAAATGATTTTCCCATAATTCCAAAAAGCAAAAGGCTTACAATCTTTATTGTCTGACCACAGTTCAAGATGAACTAGAAACTATAAAAAAGATGCCATAAAATAAGCTAACCTTTTCTGACTTCATTTCCTCTTCTAAAAAAAAAAAAAAAAATAAGCTAACCACTTAGGAGTTTAATATTGTCTGTACACATTTGTGTGTATGTAAAACTCCTGTGTGAAAGGAAGAAAACATTATTCCATTACAGTCAATTACTTTTTTTTTAATTTTTTCTAATTTCAGCATATTATGGGGGTACAAATGTTAAGGTTACGTATATTGCCCATGACCCTCCTCCCCCGAGTCAGAGCTTCAAGTGTGACCATCCCCTAAACGTTGCACATCTCACTCATTATGTTTGTATATACCCATCCCCTCCTCCCCCCTCCCTGACACCCAATAAATGTTTTTCCTGTGTCCACTTAGGTGTTGATCCATTAATACCAATTTGCTGGTGAGTACATGTGGTGTTTGTTTATCCATTCTTGAGATACTTCACTTAGTAGAATGGGTTCCAGCTCTATCCAGGAAAATACAAGAGGTGCTATATCACCATTGTTTCTTAAAGCTGAATAGTACTCCATGGTATACATATACCACATTTTATTAATTCACTCATGAATTAATGGGCACTTGGGTTGTTTCCACAACTTTGCAATTGTGAATTGTGCTGCTATAAACATTCAAGTTCAGGTGTCTTTTTCATACAGTGACTTTTGATCTTTTGGGTAGATGCCCACTAGTGGAATTGCTGGATCAAATGGTAGATCTACTTGTATCGCTTTAAGGTATCTCCATATTGCTTTCCACAGAGGTTGAACTAGTTTGCAGTCTCACCAGCAGTGTAGAAGTGTTCCTATCTCTCCATATCCATGCCAACATTTATTGTTTGAGGACTTCAATCAGTTACTTTTTGATGCTCAAATTGCCCTATCTTCAACCAGTAGGAGTTGTTTTTAGTTGAGTTTTTTAACATCCCACCAACAGTTTGATAGATTATTTCATTATACCTGCACAATTTGGACAACTATGGAAGATGCTAGGATACCAACTCATCACTCTTAAAATCAATAAGAGGAAAAATGAGCATTTATTTTCTTTTTCCCATATGAATCAAATTTAAGAATCACCAAAAGTTCATCAAATTCAATATTTTTAATTTAAAGGTCCAATACAGAAAGAATAAAATTAGAAAAATCACCATTTTCTAGACCCTAATGGAATATAATAGGTCCAGAAAACAATCTTCAAAAGTGTAAGATTTTCCTTTTTTTTTTTTTTGAGACAGAGTCTCACTTTGTTGCCCAGGCTAGAGTGAGTGCCGTGGCATCAGCCTAGCTCACAGCAACCTCAATCACCTGGGCTCAAGCAATCCTACTGCCTCAGCCTCCCGAGTAGCTGGGACTACAGGCATGTGCCACCACGCCCAGCTAATTTTTTTTCTATATATATTTTAGTTGGTCAATTAATTTCTTTCTATTTTTAATAGAGATGGAGTCTCGCTCAGGCTGTTTTTGAACTCCTGCCCTCGAGTGATCCACCCGACTCAGCCTCCCAGAGTGCTAGGATTACGGGCACGAGCCACCATGCCCGGCCAAAAGTGTATGATTTTCATAGTGAGAATTTTGTGATGAATTTATAAAGTGGCCCTCCTCTGAACCCTTTGATTAGTTTTAGCCTCAGTAGAAATGGAACTATTACACACTGTGCACCTCCTGACATAATGCAATAGGAAGTACACACTACTACCTATGAAGCCTTATTGCTGGAATAATGAGTGAAAGAATCAGAGGAAGCTGAAAAAGTGCAGTCATCCCTCGGTATCTGCTAGGGTTTGGTTCCAAGACCACCCCCCCATTGATAGCAAAATCTGTTGATGCTCAAGTATATTAAAGGGCACAATATATTTATGTATAACTTAGGCACATCCTCCTGTATACTTTAAATCATCTCTAAATTACTTATACCTAATGCATTATAAATGTTATGTAAATAGTTGTACTGTAATTTTATTTTATTTTTTTTTTATTTTTTGAGTATTTTCAATTTGCAGTTGCTTGAATTTGCAGATATGGAGATGGCACCACAAGGAAGAGGCCAATCAGATCCAGAATGTATACAATTCTACAGAACAAATGACCTGTTTTCTTCAACTAATGAGTGACATAAAAAAAAAAGGAAGGACAACAACCATTATCAGATTAAAAGGGACTTAAGAGACATCAACTAAACTTAGTATGTAGGCATTACTTGGACCTGGTTTGAACAAAACAGAAGACATTTTGGAGACAGTATGGGAAATGTGGACAGGGACTGCATATTAAGTGATATTTAGAAATATTAATTCTGTTAGGCATAATGTCAATGTGTTTATAAAAAAAAAATCTTATCTGTTAGGCTTACATGCTTACATATGAAATAATATGTATCAGATTTGCATTAAAATAGTCCAGCAAAAGAAAAATAATTGGCAAAAAATGCTGGAAACTAGATTGGTAAAATGTTGATAATTATTGGAGTGGTTTGTTCATGAGAGTTCACTGTTCTAATATTCCTACTTTTGTATGTGCTTGAAATTTCAGTAATAAAATATCTAAAATCAAAACCAAAATTATAGACTACTTAGAAATGGATGCCAGCATATCTAACCTTATCAGATGTCACCAAAGTTCTATGGGAAATTAATGCCCTTTAATGCACTAAGGAAATTTCACTTGTGGATCCAGTCCTCATCTTCACTTATGCACAGTGCCAACACAGGGTCTGTTGTATAGATGAATGTGTTGAAGGAATGAATAAGCATTTGTGTCAAGAAACAGTACAAAATAAACACAAGTAAAGAGAAGCCAAGTAGAGTAAAAAGTAGAAATTAAAAGAATAGACAATAGGAGACTTGATCCAATATTAATAATGACTAGATTTTGGCAGGTCTAATTACAGAAAATAAAATGAAAGATAATATATTTAGAGCATTAACAATGATAAGATACAACTATAGATTGATTATCAAGGAGATATTTTTAAAAAATAAGGTAATACTATACACACACATGCACAAACATATATTCATTCCAGTACATGTAGAAATTTGGAGGGATTATATTTTTTCTATAAGAATGTTACTGTAATTGACGCAATGCTGTAAAACCCAAATAGATTAACAAATGTGTGTGCATATGTGTAAATTCTCTATTAAAGAAAAAATCTGATACTTGTGCAGGTGAAAGCTTTAAGGAATAGATAATCCTTAACAAGGTTTTACCAGTTAATTCTGCAAAGCTAAAATAATCCTAATAACGAACTGGATGAAATAGCTTCTAAAAAGCAAAATCCAGACCAGTTTTATTTATGAAGATTCTGTTCTTCATGATTCTAAATGAGGTACATTTAGAATTTATTAGAGCCTGTAGTCCCAGCTACTCGGGAGGCTGAGACAGGAGGATCATTTGAGCCCAAGAATTTGAGACCAGCCTGGGCAAGAACAAGACCCCATCTCCTAAAAACAGAAAAAATTAGCTGGGAATTGTGGTACACCTCTAGTCCCAGTTATGGGGGAGGCTAAGGCAGGAGGATCGCTTAAGTCCAGGAGTTTGAGGTTGCAGTGAGCTATGATGCTGCCACTGAACTCTATCCAGGGCAACAGAGTGAGACTTTGTCTTTAAAAAAAAAATGAGAAAATAATGATGTCTTAAAGACTTCAGGCAGTTCAAAGAAGTATTACTGGAAAAAGAAACAGGAGTAAAAATATCCTATGCCATGGAATTTTTATTAAAGATGATATCTGTTTAATTAATCCTACTGTATTTCCATTCTCCTTGAAAAGAAGTCTTATCTGTATAAGAATACTCAATAATATGACCTATAAATTTTAATATCAAATATATTTCAAATAGGCTGGGCACAGTGGCTCATGCCTGTAATCCTAGCACTATGGGAGGTGGGGGCGGGCAGATTGCTCAAAGGTCAGGAGTTCGAAACCAGCCTGAGCAAGACCCTGTCTCGCTCTCTTGGATGGGACAGGATGGCTACAGGAAGCAAGATTGAGTATTTCCCTCTCCCAGGGAGATTAGGCTCTGGTAAAAAAAAAAAAAAAAATTCTCTCTCTTTTTTTCTCTTTTTTTGGCCACACTGTAGAAGTAAAAAAAAGAAGAAAGAAAAAAGTTTCTCCTAAGGGAAGGCCTTGTTAAGAACAGAATGCTTGAGTTATCTCATTTGATCGTTCACAGTTAGTTACAGATCGAACTCCTTGTTCTACTACTTTTCCTCCCTCCTCACTACTGCACTTGACTAGTCTTTAAAAAAAAAAAAAAAAGAACAGAATGCTTAGCTGGGCATGGTGGCCTGTTCCTGTAGTCCCAGCTACTCAGGAGGCTGAGGCAAGAGGATCACTTGAGCCCAGGAGTTTGAGGTTGCAGTGAGCTATGATGACA